CGGGGCACCGCCCGCCGCCGCCTCCCGGCTGCGGCTCCTAGAACTAAAGCTTGTGACTGCCGCGGGAACCGGGGCAAGTCAGACCTGAACCAGGGGTACGGGGGATCCAGGCTCGCCATCGCGTTTCCTAACGGATTTTCTAGAGCGAGAGAGCACGCGCGCAAAGAACATCAGATGTGCTGAAGTTTTGCAAAAATTTGGTTTTGTAATCTATTTTGAGCGATGCATTTAGTAAAGAACAGTGCATCATGTTAATTATTGACCCATGACAGCTAAATGCAATTGGAGATTCTAGCCTAGATTTGGTGGTAGGGGACATGACGAGGCAATTGACAAAATGGACTGTGGACAACAGATTAAAGTTTCAGCTCAGTCTTCAATTGCCTGTTGATAACGCTGCTGGGTTTGTAGCAGAATGTCTGGATTCTTAGGAAATACCAGTATGTACAAGTGAAATAACATTTCACTCAGTGTCAATTAGTCCTGGTGCGGGGGAGGAGCCTGTGTTTGATTTTAGAGAGTATAATAAAGCAGGAGGTAAGGTGCGTTAAAAATTAGAGCATGGAGGTAAAGATTATGCTAATTCTTGCAACTTCCTGTAAACTTGATATTTTTATGTAACTGATGTAAAAGTATGTTTAATCAAGAGCTTACAGTCTTAGGAAGGTAAGTGATAATCCTTTACTGACTTGTTTGCATTATTTGCTTAGCAGTTACCTGCACAAATTCAACTCATAAGTAAGCTAGGAATCAATTATTTCAGAATCCATGTATAGTACCTTCTTAGTTTTCTAGACACTTATTAAATGAATTTACATTAAATGAACTTACACACCTTCCTTGCACTGTCCCTGAGCTTTTGTTCTCAAGGCTAGCACTCTACCATTTGAACCACATCTCCATTTCCAGCTTTTTGCTGGTTAAAGATGATAGTCTCATGGATCTTCCTGCCTGGGCTGGCTTCAAACCATGATTCTCAGATCTCAGCTACCTTAGTAGCTGTGATTGCAGGCATGAGGCACCAGAGCCTAGCTTTTTGATGATGTTGTTTTTATTTTTTAGGGGGTCCCGTCGTGGGCCCTGAACTCTGGGCCTGGGTGCTGTCCCTCAGCTCTTCAGCTCAAGGCTCTACCACGTGAGTCACAGCACCACTTCCGGGTTTTTTCTTTTTGCTCATGTGGTGCTGAGGAATCAAACCCAGGGCCTCAGGCATGCAAGACAAGCGCTCTACCATTGAGCCACTTTCCCAGCCTATGATGATGATGATGATGATGATGATGATGATGATGATGTTTTTAAATTACTATATATCCAGAGAACTGTGAGCTGAAGCTCACAATTGAGCACAGCTCAAGTAGTTGTAATCCTAGCTATACAGGAGCCTAAGATGTGAGGATTGCAGTTCAAAACCATCCTGTGAAGGAAAGTTCTTGAGACACTTTTCCAATTAACTAACAAAAACCCAGCAAGTCTCAGTTTTGTCACAAAGTGGGGGAGGGCGGAAGGGAGAAGGAGGAAGGAAGGATTAGAAGATATAAACTGAATCCAAGTTTCCATAACTCCAGATTTAGAGCACAAAAAGAGTTAGGGAAACCACGTGCTGGTAGCACATGCCTGTAATCCTAGCTATTCAAGAGGCTGAGATCTGAGGATCATGGTTCAAAGCCAGCCCAGGCAGGAAAGTCCATAAGACTCTTCAATAAACCACTCAGAAAACTGGAAGTTGTGTTGTGGCTCAAGTGGTAGAGCGCTAGCCTTGAGCTGAAGAGCTGAGGGACAGTGCCTAGGTCCAGAGTTCAAGCCCCACGACCAACAAAAAAAAAGAATTGGGAAGAGGGTACGGTACCTACATGGCTGAAGGGCTTACTGGCCTCATTTAATAGTCTCCGTTTCCTCATTGCCCTTGCTCCTGTCTTCACTCTAAGTGAGTGAAACTGCTGATAGCCTCCTTAACATGAGCTAGGAGTGCGTGCTTATAATATAAAAAGCACCACAGGCTAGTCATGTTGCATCTTTTTTTTTTTTTTTCCGGTCGTGGGGCCTGAACTCTGGCCTGGGCGCTGTCCCTCAGCTCTTCAGCTGTCGACTAGTGCTCTACCACTTGAGCCTCAATCCCACTTCCGGATTTTTCTGCTTATGTGGTGCTGAAGAATTGAACCCAGCGCCTCATGCATGCAAGGCAAGCACTCTACCGCTGATCCACCTTCCCAGCCCCTCATGTTGCATCTTAAGTCAGTGAAACTGCTGATAGCCTCCTTAACATGAACTAGGAATGCATCCAGAAGACTTCATTAAAAATCAAAGGATCGAAGAGATGACATTGTCCAAAAAGAAATGTACTCTTTACTTGACTTAAGTAACTGTAACCCCTCTGTACATCACATAATAACAAAAATTAAACATCATAGAATCCAGCTTTTATCTAAAATATTGAAATAATTTTCCTAATTTATTAGTGATAACAAATACATTATGTGGAAAGTTGCATAATATCAAAAGTGTAGAGTTTCAAATATGTGAATAAGTATAATGTATCTATACATACATAGGTAAAGATCTGAAAGTATAACACATCAGTTACCTGTGAAGAGAGAATTAGAAATGGTTTTTCGAAACATTTACCACTTGAGGACTGAACTCAGTGTCTAGCCACTGTCCCTTAGCTTTTTCCATATAGTAGGCTGGCACCCTATTACTTGAACCACAACTGCATTTCTGGCTTTTTGTTGGTTAATTTTAAGTGAGAGTCTTACAATTCAGTTTTCAAAGCCATCCTCAAGTTTGCAAACAAACCCAAGAGCCTTGAGTGAAAATGTGAAAGGACAGCACCTAGGCCCTGAATTGAACCCTAGTCCTGGCCAAAAAAAAGCAAAGGTCACCGAGTTCCTTGTCATTTCAATGATACTAAATGTGTTTCTGTTCTTATTTTTCAGATTAACAAAATATATTGTATTACTATGTTTCACTAAGATCTTGAAAGCTGTGGGACTTTTTGAATCCTATGATCTCCTCAAAGTTGTTCACATTGTTCAGTTCATTTTTATATTAAAACTTGGGTAAGTTTCAGGGTGAGGTCTTTTTAAAATTTTCTTTGACAATTCTGTTTTAACTCAGTATCTTTAGAAAACTTTATATAGAATATTTTGTACAATTTTTCCTTACAAGTTTGTTGGAGTTTGTTTTTGGAATTTTGTATTTTTAAAGGGGTAGAAGTATACCAGGGCTGGGAAGGTAGCTCAGTGATAGAGTGCTTGCCTTGCATGCATGAGGCCCTGGGTTTGATTCCTCAGCTCTACATAACCAGAAAAGGCTGGAAGTGGTGCTGTGGTTTAAGTGGTAGGGCGCTAGCCTTGAGCTAAAGAGCTGAGGGACAGCACCCAAGCCCAGAGTTCAGGCCCCACAACCGACCCAAAAAAATAAATAAAATAGAAGTATACCTAAGGGTAGAGCTACAAAGAGGCAGATAAAAAAGGGGATTGTTATAGCCAGGCACAATGAGACCTACCTGTAAAATCTTATTTCCATAATCCTATGAGGATTGTACATTCAACACAAACCTGAGCTACATAGAAGTCTCTGTCTGAAAAAACAATAGTATTGTAGTCTAATGGCTTGCCAAAACATAGACTAGATTTGTGTTGACAAGGAGACAGCTGGATTATCATGTCTGCTTCAGCATTCAGTCTGTTGCATCACCTATAATAGGAAATACCTCATTTCAAAGACACCACTGTACACTTCTGAGGGAGCAAGATAATATGGCAGAGAATGAGATAAAAGGATAGGTAATCACTTATAAAAATAATTTTGACTTTGCAAAAAAATCTTGAAGAGACCCTAACATTCTCAGACTCTCCCAGTAATACAGCCCAGTCTTCAGTCAAGCATAGTGTCTGAGCACATACATTCCTTATTTTTTGGATCCAGCATCCCAGGCTGAGTTTTCCTGCATGATCCCTTCATAGTATAGAGTCCTTATCCCATATAAACTATATATTTATAGCAAAAAATTCTTCCTAAATACATTTCTGGACCTTAAGATTGATAATGCCCTTAAAGAAAGAAAACCAGGCCTTTGGGGTTAGAGGCATAACTTACCTGGTAGAGCACTAGCCAATGAGCAAAAGCGGCAGCTACCAATTTGAGTCCCAGTCTCAGACCTAAAAAAATGAAGAGATTGGCTGGGTGCCAGTGGCTCACACCTGTAATTCCAGCTGCTCAGGAGGCTGAGATCTGAGGATTGTGGTTCAAAACCAGCCCGGGCAGGAAAGTCCATGAGACTCTTATCTCCAATAAAGCATCAGAAAACCCAGAAGTGGGGCTGTGGCTCAAGTGGTAGAGTACTCACTTTGAGCTGAATAGCTGAGGGACAGCATCCAAGTCCAGAGTTCAAGTCCCACTACTGACCAAAAAGAGAGAGAAAGATTGGTAATGATCACACACTTTGCTGATGAGAAAAACTATAAGGATTCTTGGGAATATAATTTTAGTAATATTGGAAAGAGATTTAGAAACTAGGAAATTTTAAGTACCAGTTTTACCTGTTTTTATGTAACTTTCAGCAACAAACATAGGGACATATGACTAGTATTTCACTTTTATGTTGTTTCAGTTACTGAATTTTAGAGAAAATGATTGTTTTCTTTGGTGTTTGAAGGTATTTAAAAATACTGAGAGTCAGGGAAATTGGCATACAACTGTAATCCCAGCACTAGGAAAACTGAGTCAGGAGGATCAGGAGCTTGGGGTTTATCTGGTTTATATAACGAGACCTTGCTATAATAAGAATAAATAAAATGGGGCGGGGAAGGTGACTAAGTGATAGAGTGCTTGCCTCATGTGCATGAGGCCCTGGACTCAATTCCTCAGGACTCGATAAACAGAAAAGGCCCAAAGTGGTGCTGTGGCTCAAGTGGTAGAGTGCTAGCCTTGAGTTGAAAAGCTGAGGGATAGCACCCAGGCCCAGAGTTCAAACCCCACAGCCAACAAAAAAGAAAGTAAGATTCCTTTATAATTCTGGCTTGTGAACTAGTTCTGAAGACAATTTGAAAAGTAAACTTAATAAAACATTGCCACACAAGCCTCTTAAAGTGTCATTCTTTAGCATTTCATTTTTGTACTGGAATTTGAACTTAGCCTAGCACTCAGCTTGCTTGCTCAGCTGGTGCTCTACCATTTGGGAAGTACCTCCAGCTCTGTCTGCTTTTTTGTGTGTTCAGACAGTCTTGAGGACTTGACTTCTGTGTGCTTGCTTTAAACCATGATCCTCCAGATCTCAGCCTCCTAAGTAGGTAGAATTATAGGCATAAGCCACTTACTTCTGGCTTCTCTCCAGTAGTTCATTTATAATAAATGTCCTTACCTAAAGCTATATCTTGTGTATAATGTTGATTAATATTAATACGCTATTGTTTCAATATTTCAGGACTGCCTTTTTTATGGTTTTGTTTCAAAAACCATTTTCTTCTGGGAAAACCATTACTAAAGACCAGGTGAAGTATTTACAGAATTATTTATTCCTAACCACTTCCCATTTATTGGGCCAGAATACAGCACCCATTTTTCCATCAGAGTTACTTAACAGATCATTTAAATGTACAGTAGAAAATTTTCACTTGCTTTTGACTTTATCTTTCCAGAATTGAGACTTCAACAATAAGCTGTAAAAATCCCAAGATAATGAAATGTCTGAATCTGCAGAAGAGGGGGCTAGAATGTAGCTCAGTGGTAAAGGGCTGCCTAGCCTAGTACATTGCTCTAGGTTCAATTGCTAAAACAACAACAAAAAAAAGTTTAAGCCCCAGGACTGGCACACACACACAAAAAACTTGCAAACAAGAATAGAAAACTTTAGCCAGGGGGCTGGGAAGGTGGCACAGTGGTAGAGCGCTTGCCTTACATGCATGAGGCCCTGGGTTCAATTCCTCAGTACCACATAAGAAAAGAAAAAAAGCTGGAAGTGGCACTGTGGCTCAAGTGGTAGAGCACTAGCCTTGAGCTGAAGAGCTGAGGGACAGCGCCCAGGCCCAGAGTTCAGGCCCCACGACCGGACCCAAAAAAAAGAAAATTTTAGCCGGGCACTGGTGGCTCACGCCTATAATCCTAGCTACTCAGGAGGCTGAGATCTGAGGATTACGGTTCAAAGCCAGCCCAGGCAGGAAAGTCTGTGAGACTGATCTACAATAAACCACCAGAAAACTGGAAATGGTGCTGTGGCTCAAGTTTAAAAGTGCTAGCCTTGAGCTGAAGAGCTGAGGGACAGCGCCCAGGCCCAGAGTTCAGGCCCCACGACCGACCGGACCCAAAAAAAGAAAATTTTAGCCGGGCACTGGTGGCTCACGCCTATAATCCTAGCTACTCAGGAGGCTGAGATCTGAGGATTACGGTTCAAAGCCAACCTGGACAGAGTGAGCTGAAGAGCTGAGGGACAGCGCCCAGGCCCAGAGTTCAGGCCCCACGACCGGACCCAAAAAAAAGAAAATTTTAGCCGGGCACTGGTGGCTCACGCCTATAATCCTAGCTACTCAGGAGGCTGAGATCTGAGGATTACGGTTCAAAGCCAGCCCAGGCAGGAAAGTCTGTGAGACTGATCTACAATAAACCACCAGAAAACTGGAAATGGTGCTGTGGCTCAAGTTTAAAAGTGCTAGCCTTGAGCTGAAGAGCTGAGGGACAGCACCCAGGCCCAGAGTTCAGGCCCCACAACTGGACCCAAAAATAAAATTTAAAGCATGTACTGTAATAAAGTGTCCTTATTCAGAAAGGTATACCAATAAGACCTGAGGCATGCCCAAGAATCTAGAACATCACTGGCAGGTTGGCAAAGCATAAGGTTTGGAAGTGAGGCTAGTAGAATCAGGCATTCATGTTCTATGCATCCTACTTAAAAATTCTTAACTTTGTACAAGTTACTTATTTCTGTTAATTTGCTCACATATAAAATGGAAATAATAACTTTTCAGGTAGAGCTGTGGGAAATAGATGAATTTATACATGTAAAGTTACCAGAATAGTACCTGGTAGGTATATAGTGAGCATGCGGTACCCCAGGGAACAGCTTACCACCCTCATCGTTGGTGTCTTATTCTCTTAGAGAATTTTGTAAAGTATATTTAGGAGATATAAGATCAATTACTGCCTAACAAATATAGAGTTAGTCAAGAGGTCTTAGCATTTTATCTTTTAAAAATAAATTTGCCTAGTCCTGGTAGCCATACCTGTAATCCTAGCTACTCAAGAGGTTAAGATCTGAGGATTACAGTTCAAAACTAGCCCACATAGGAAAAATTAACACCAGAAAACTGGAAGTAGAGCTATGGCTCAAACTGGTAGAGTGCTAACCTTGAGAAAGCTCAGGGACAGCACCTAGGCCCTGAGTTCAAGCCCCACAAATATATATATATATATATATATATGTATGTATGTATGTATGTACATGTATATTTGTATGTATAAGTTTAGTTCATTATAGCAAAGCATGACTGAAATTTCTCACTTTTTGTTTCTACTTACAGTGGATCAAAATATTTAAACATGCTGTTGCTGGTTGTATCATTTCACTCTTGTGGTTTTTTGGCCTTACTCTTTGTGGACCACTAAGGTAAATAAAAATACATGTGTTGAATGTTTGGTTATATTTCTTTATTTTGGTGATTTATTTCAATCTGATACTTTATGTCAAATATTTATATAAATGTTTCTATCATGTCTATAACATTGGGTAGATTTCAGCTGAGATGGACAGGGAGCATGGAGGAAGGAACATAGTGGAGGGGGAGGTGGAAGGGAGAGAAGAACCTGTTAAATTTATGGACTGTTTCTTTGGTGAACACCATTAATGTACTCATTAATGATGTATTACATTTTACTCCTTAAAACCCAAAAAAGTTAACAATTTTTAACAGGTTTAAAAAAAAAATCTCCCTTTTAAGCAAATGGTTCCAAAGCCAAAAAGTCTGAAATGCTATGTAAAGAATTCAACCTATACTTGGGCACTGGTGGCTCACACCTATAATCCTAGCTACTTAGGAGACTTATCTCCAATTAACCACCAGAAAACCCAAAGTGGTGCTGTGCCTCAAAGTGGTATGGCTCTAGCTTGAGCTGAAGAGTTCAGGGACAGCAGCCAGGCCCAGGGTTCAAACCCCACAACCAATAACAACAACAACAACAAAAAACCTAGAAGGAGGAAGCCAAAGACTTTAAATCATATTTTTCCCCAACTCTGCAAATCCCCTAGTAAACAAATATTAGGTAATAGTATGTTAGTATGTCAGTCCTCATACTAAAGATGTAGTGAGTTAAGTATATTACTCTTCTTTTTTTTGGGGGGGGGGGGGGGGGGACGGGGGCCCAGTTGTAGGCCTGAACTCTGGGCCTGGGCACTGTCCCTCAGCTCTTCAGATCAAGGCTAGTGCTTGAGCCACAGCGCCAATTCCGGCTTTTTTTTTCTGCTTATGTGGTGCTGAGGAATCGAACCCAGGGCCTCATGCATGCAAGGCAAGTGCTCTACCACTGAGCCACCTTACCAGCCCTACTCTTCATTTTTATTCTCCCTGATCTGTGTAATCTTTTTGTCCATATGGTCCAGTTCAGGGAAAAGGTGCTTAAAAGCTGCTTAATGAAGTTGAGACATGTGCAACTGCATAAGCATTTTTTTTTCTAGTTTTCTATCTCTAAAGGGTTTACCTAGTGGATAAATAGAAGAAAAAGTTTCTTGCCATTGGTGTTGGGAGCATATGAAGATGAAAGATGAGGAGTAAAATGAAGGGTATTTTAAAGAATAGAGTAGAAAATGGTTATTGAGAAATGCTTTGTGACAAGTCCTTTCTCACTTGGCCAGTAAAATAACTTCTGAGCTAACTTCTTGGTCCTGTGCTTTGTCATATGCAGATTATGCATAAATTCAACTGTCACATCTTTTTGTGTATGTGTGTATCTGTGTCAGTTGTAGGGCTTGAACTCTGGGCCTGGGCGCTGTCCCTCAGCTCAAGGTTCAAGGCTCGCACTATACCACTTGAGCTTCAGCACTACTTCTGTTTTTCTGAGTGGTTTATTGGAGATAAGAGTCTCACGGACTTTCCTTGCCTAGCTGGCTTTGAACAGTGATCCTCAGGTCTCAGGATTACAGGCGTGAGCCACTGGCACCCGGCCCAACTGTCAAATCTATCCGAAGTTGCAGCATCCTGGAGGGATGGAAAACCTGGTTCTGGTTTTTCAGCTTGAAGGGAGCTTTTTCAATTTATGCATGAATATAATAGAGTGATCATATTGCTAAACTGCCATATTAGTTTTAGGTCATGTTAGTAAATCATTGTCCCTCTCATCAGCAACATGGTCCCTCATGCTTTTACTAAAACCATTTCTCTATTACAAAGAGTCTTTGTATTTCATCATCTCATTTTAGATTAGTATTACTATACTGATTTTTTTCATAAATTGTAATCTTCCAAATATTAGTAGAACTAAAGTTATCCTCAGTGCTCTTTATTATACATCTTTTTTTTTTTTTTTCGGTCATGGGACTTGAACTCTGGGCCTGGGAGCTGTCCCTCAGATCTTCAACTCAAGGCTAGTGCTCTGCCACTTGAGCCACAGCACCACTTCCAAGTCGCACGGACTTTCCGGCTTGGGCTGGCTTTGAACCGTAATCCTCAGATCTCAGCCTCCTGAATAGCTAGGATTACAGGCCTGAGCCACTGGCACCTGGCTTAGTACAAATTTTTGGGTAAAGAGAAAACATGAAAATTTGTTAAACAAGAGATAAAAATCTGTTCTGTATTCCATAAGTCATTTTAGGTAGTAATAACCTTTTTATTATTTTATTTATTTATTTATTTAGTCAGTCCTGGGTCTTGAACTCTGGGCAAGTCTGGGCGCTGTCCTTCAGCTCTTCAGCTCAAGGCTAGTGTTCTGCCACTTGAGCCACAGCGCCACTTCCGGTTTTCTGGTGGTTAACTGGAGATAAAAGTCTCATGGAGGGGCTGAGAAGGTGGCTCTGTGGTAGAGCGCTTGCCTTGCATGCATGAGGCCCTGGGTTGGATTCCTCAGAACCACATAAGCAAAAAGTAAAAAGCCGGAAGTGGTGCTGTGGCTCAAGTGGTAGAGCACTAGCCTTGAGCTGAAGAGCTGAAGGACAGGATGACAGATGCACACCACCACACCTAGCTTTTTCTGTTCAAATAATCTCAAAAATTTTTTGCCCCATCTAGACTCAAACTTTGACCTTCCAAAGTAACAGGAGACCTGAGCCACTGTGCCTAGCTCTTTTTTTCCTTTGGTGTTAATTCATAGCATTTTACTTTAGAATTAGAATTAAATTATATGTATTTTTCTGTAACCCTTTTTGTTCATTTATGTTTGAAATTTATGTATTTGATGTAATAGTTATTCATTTTTATAGCTTTATAAAAATAAAATTAACATGCCTTAACATTCACCTTTAAAATTCCACTTGAAATCTAGGAGTGGTGGTGCACACTTATTTGGGAAACTGAGGCAAGAGGATTCCTTGAACCCCGAAGTTTGAGGCCAGCCTGGACAAAATAATGAGATCTTTTGTCTCAAAATGTAATTTTTTTAAGACTCCACTTCAAGCCGAGCGCTGGTGGCTCACACCTATAATCCTAGCTACTCAGAAGGCTGAGATCTGAGGATCATGGTTCAAAGCCAGCCCGGGCAGAAAAGTCCATGAGACTCTTATCTCTTATTAACCACCAGAACACCGGAAGTGGTGCTGTGGCTCAAGCGGTAGAGCACTTGCCTTGAGCTGAAGAGCACAGGGATATGCCCAAGCCCAGAGTTCAAGCCCCATGACCAACAACAACAACAACAAAAGAATCCACTTCAATATTTTTCATATATTCATAAAATTCTCGCTGCTGTATAACAATCCATTGACTAGAAATGTATATTATTTGTTCTCTTTATTAGTGAATATGTATATTGTTTCCAGTTTTGGCCTACTACAAGCAATGCAAACAATAGCAACCTTCTCAGTATTTATAAAAGAATAAATAAATAAAAGGAAACTTTATTATATAAATACTCAGAGTGGTAATGGATATTTGTATAATACTGAAGTATTTACTAAATCAATTGTATTGTTTTTTAATGCTGTTTTATGAAATGAAATGTCTTTTTTTTTCTTACTCTAGTTGAATTCATGCTTCCTGATTAAAATTAGATATAACTAAAGAGTGACATTTTATTTTTATAGGACTTTGCTGCTATTTGAGCACAGTGATATCGTTGTCATCTCACTACTCAGTGTTTTGTTCACTAGTTCTGGAGGAGGACCAGCAAAGGTAGAATTTACATTCTCAAGGTGGGGGGGGTTGTTTTGTTTGACAGTCCCGAGGCTTGAACTCAGGGCTTGGGCACTGTCCCTGAGCTTCTTTTGCTCAAGGCTAGCAGTCTGTCACTTCAACCACAGTGCTACTTCCAGCTTTCTCTGTTTATGTGGTACTGAGGAATGGAATCCAGGGCTTAGGCAAGCACTTTACCACCAAGCCACATTCTCAGTTTTTTTATAAATTGAAAGTATAGATTTAAGATGCCATCCAAATCAAAAAAATAATATATTTTGTGTGTGTGCATGTATGTATGTGTACATGCTTGTGTATATGCAACAGTACAGAGTCTAGAACTCAGAGCCTCACGCTCTTGCTTAGCTTTTTGGTCAAGACTGATACTAGCACTTGAGCCACAGTTTCACGGCTAGCTTTTGCTGATTACTTGGAGATAAGAGTCTCGTGGACATTTCTGCCCAGGCCAGGTTTGAACTGTAATCCTCAAATACCAGCCTGTTGAGGAGCCAGTATTATAGGCTTGAGTCACCAGTTCCATGCATAAAATGTATCTTTTACCATTTGTACGAATACAGTGAGTAGTCTTGGCACTGGTGTCTCACTGTTGTAATCCTAGCTAATCAAGAGTCTGAGATCTGAGAATCTGGGTTGAAGCCATCCCAGGCAGGAAAGTCAATAAGACTTTATCTCCACTAAACTACCATGGAAGCCAAAAGTGGGATGTGACTCAAATGGTAGAACACTACCCTTGAACAAAAAGAAGTCAGGCCCTGATTTTTAAGTGTATGTGTGCTACTTCTGGAGCTTGAACTCAGGACCTGGATGCCATCCCTGAGCCTTTGCTCAAGGCTAGCCCTCTCTCTTGAACCACAACTCCACTTCAGTTTTTGTTACTTGGAGATAAAAGTTTCATAGACTTTTCTTTGTCTGGTCTGGCTTTAAACCATGATGGTAATCCTCCTGGGATTACCATTTTAGGATTACGGCATGAGCCACTATTATCTGGCTAGTCTTAAATTTTTTTAATGCCATTATAATATCTGCTTCCACAAGTTGGACCAGTAGGCCTTTACTTTTCAATTTCAAATGATTATAGAATCATAGGAAATTACAAAAATAGTACAGAAATGTACCTTTCATTCCATTTCTTCCAAAGACAACTTCTTACCCAGTAAGAACATGCTACCAGGAGATTAAGCTGGGCATCATTACTTCAAACCTGTAATTTTACTTACTCAGGAGGCTGAGAATCCAGAGAATCAAAGTTCAAGGCCAACCTAGGAAGGAAGTCCTTGAGACTCCATTTTCAAAATAGCCAGCAAGTCGGATATGAGGGAGAATGATGGAAGAGGTGACATTGATCAAGATGCATTGTACTCATAAACTAATACATTGAATTGAAACTCCTTTGTACAACTACTTAAAGATAATTTTTTTTTTAATAATGAGGGCTGAGAAGGTGGCTCAGTGGTAGGATTGCTTGCCTTGCATATATGAGGACCTGGGTTCAATTCCTCAGCACAACAAAAGCAGAAAAGGCCGGAAGTGACACTGTGGCTCAAGTGGTAGAGTGCTAGCCTTGAGCTGAAGAGCTGAGGGCAGCACCCAGGCCCAGAATTCGGGCCCCACAACCAAAAAATAAAATAAAATAATCAGCAAAAAGGACTAGGAATGTAGCTCAATTCTAGAACATTTACTTGGTATTCCCAAGGCCCTAGATTCAATCCCCAGGACTGAAAGCAAATTACCAACAAAAAGCCAGGCTGGAAGTATGGCTCGATTAATGGAGTGCAAGTTGAGCAAGCAAGCTGAGCAAGTCCACTGCTAGCAAAACAAAACATGAAACAGGAGGTTAACATTGGTATAATTCTTACATCTAAGATTTTATCAGTTTTACATATATATGTATGTGTAGATTTTTGTAACTACCATCAGAACTAAGATGAAGACAAGCTGGGCGCCAGTGGCTCACTCCTATAATCCTAGCTATTCAGGAGGCTGAGATCTGAGGATCAAAGCCAGCCCAGGCTGGAAAAGTTCCTTGAGAGTTTTTTGGTTGTTTTCTTTTTCCTTTTGGTCAATCATGGGGCTTGAACTCTGGGTCTGGGGTCTGCCCCTAAGCTCTTCAAGGCTAGCATTCTACCACCTGAGCCACAGCCCATTTCTGTTTATCTGGTGGTTAATTGGAGATAAGAGTCTCACAGACTTTCCTGCCTGGGCTGGCTTTGGACCGAGATCCTCAGATCTCAGCCTCCTGAGTAGCTAAGATTACAGGCATAAGCCACCAGCACCTGCTTCCTTGAGACTCTTATCTCTAGTTAATCACCAGAAAATCAGAAATGGCAGTGGGTCAAAGTAGTAGAGCACTAGCCTTGAATGAAAAGCTCAGAGACAGTGTACAGGCCCTGAAATCAAGCCTCACAACTGACCAAAAAAAAAAAAATAGACACATTGGCAAAACGATTTCTTTTCATTGTGCACCTCAGTCTTAAACCTTGTAAGTTCAAACCCAGTTCTACCAAAATGTATTAGTTCTGGAAACATTAACAATTCCTAATAACATGTTAAGTTAGCAAGAAAGTGATTAAAGTTGTCAATACTGTATGTCTTAAATGCCCTTAAAATATTTGCAGAATTTATTGAATCACTTTTATAGTGTACTGTTACTACTATAAGCTTATGTAAAACGTTAATGTCAGATGTTATTTTTTAACTGTTTATTTTTTATGGTTTACTTTAGCATTTGTGTACTTAAACCAAAATAAAAATTACCCTTACAGAAGCCATCTTTTTTTTCCCTTCATTTTCAGACAAGGGGGGCTGCTTTTTTCATTATTGCTGTGATCTGTTTATTACTTTTTGACAATGATGATCTCATGGCTAAAATGGCTGAACATCGTATCCTTTTACAATAGAATTATTAAAAATCTTAACAAAAGGGGCTGGGAAGGTGGCTCAGTGGTAGAGCGCTTGCCTTGCAAGCCTGAGGCCCTGGGTTCGATTCCTCAGCACCATATACGCAAAAAGAAAAAAGCCGGAAGTGGCGCTGTGGCTCAAGTGGTAGAGCGCTAGCCTTGAGCTGAAGAGCTGAGGGACAGCGCCCAGGCCCAGAGTTCAGG